AGCTGATCTTATAAAGAAAACTGCTCAACACTGCGATTGTAAATCTGAATATTTGATAGTTCATTTCTAAGGAGGCGAAACTAATTAAATGCGATACAGGTATACATAAAGGAGAATAATAATAAAAAGCAATACAATTGAACACGTCTTTATTTTTCAACAACACGTCATTATTTCTTAGCGAGAAGAGATCCTAAAAACTTATTATTGTCGATTATAGATAGTACATTAATCACGAAAAAAAAACATGAAAGAATAGTTTGAACGTAATAATGTGGCTATAAAAATGTGTATATAAAAATAAGAAAAAGAAGTTAAGACTCCTGCCATATTGAATCGTGATGTCAAAAGGATGAAGAAATGACGCATTAATTTTTATTACGTAGTATTTAAGTAAATAAGACGATAAAATAAAATACGAAATCTCTTTAAATATAAAAATGGATGAAAGCTATCTAAATCCCCTCTCCCTCTCCCCTTCATGACAGTAAATTTACTTGACTGTCGGGAGAATAAGCATAGTTTTCGTCCATTTTACAATTATTTTAATTACGATTTCATTATTTTGTTTTATCCAAATTACCTTTATTTACAAATGGGACGTAATAAAAATTAATGTGACTACTCAGGAGCCTTAAGTGTATATGATATAATAAGAATAAAAAGAGCATTTACATTCAATTAGTAAACATTTACTCTAAAAAAGCACAACGTACGCACACAAGCGTATCATTTAAGGTGACTTTCGCCTACATTGGAATTTTCTTATGGCTGATCAACTTCCTTTCGCTTGTAACGCAAGTATCACGTTGTCATGCTGGTTCGATACAAATAACAGATTAAGAAATCGAATGTTAAAATTAATTGCATAATAACGCACATCGTGCGTCAGTGATAAGAAAAGTTGACGTTTTACTCGCTACTTGTTTTTAATTCTCAGATTTATTTGCAGCTTATTTCCAGTTAAATTGTACAACTGCATATGAAAAATCATCTTCAGTATTTAAACACAATATAAATACTTTTTCAGATACAGATTATCTAGAAGAGCGTAATTAAATCACAACTAATAATATTGAACAATTGAAAGAAAATTGATATCAAAAAAAATCTTTATATATTTATATCCTATATTTTATTTAGGTTGTCTAAGATTTTGTGAACAATTAACGATAACGAGTAACCAAATTGTATTGGGCAAATCCTGGTGAAAATTTTTCTTAGAATTTTTTGTAAATATACATAAATATACATAATATACATAATATACATAAATTTTCTGAACTAACTTTTACGTAAATTTTAGAATTTCTTAAAATTTTTGTATAACATTAACTTAATTTACTGAAAATTTATCAAATTCTTTTATACAAATTTTGAGTCACTTTTTGGAGATGCAGAGAAAGTGTATGTTTTTTTGTAGAATTTTTCATATATATAAATTCTGAAGTTCTAAAGATTTTGAAGATTGTTTATTCTATAATTTTCGAAGGAATTTACAAAATCTAAAGAAATTTAATGGATATCTTTTTCAAAAGTCTTCATAAATTTAAAATATAATAAATTTTTAAAATTAAAATACTGAATTTTTGAAAATAAAGTAAAAATTTTTTCACCAGTGCATCATAAGTTATTTTATCAAATTCAATTGAATGATGTTTATTTCGTTTCTTTTTGAACAAGAATTAAGATATAAAAATGAGGAATATGTTAATTAAAATTAACTAACGTTATTGAATGTTTTACGTAATTCTTACATGAAATATTACAAAACTTTCCGCATACTTTAAAGGGTCACCGAATGCGATTCGATCTAGATTAAAAAGAATTACTAGTAGAACTACTACTTTCACTTCGATAAGAGAGCATAACTGCTATGTCATACTGTTCTTTCTCTGTTGTCAATCTCTCTCGTTTATTGAATACGTCGCAGTTTGCACCATCGATCTGTGAACGTACGTTATATATCGAGCCACGTTGGTCACTTGAAACTTAGAAGAGATAACATTTTCCTCCGACACTCATTCCATTGTGTTCTGATCATTCTCGTGCGTGTCACGTCGATAAATAAATGGTCATTGTGCATAATTGAAGAAAAAAAAAAACCAGAGCAACATCGCTTTATCACAATCATCACATCACGTTATTAGAGTGTTACGTTATCAGAACAGTGTAATTTTTTCCAATTCCTCATTCGCGAGTGTGTTTTGAACGGAACTATCGTCGCGTATTTCATAATCTCTAATCATATTCTTTTTGTCTAATTCTTTTTTTCTAATTCTTCAATCCATACATTCTTTCTCTTTTTCCCATGTTTTCGTTATTTTTTTTAATTCCACATTTTTTTCTTTTTATTTTATTTTTTTTAGTTTAGACAAATATTTTTCGTTATATTATTTCTGTTCTTTTTCTTTTTAATTTTAATCTGTAATTTTTTTCTTTTTGGCTCTTTTCTTTTTTGATTAAATATTGTTGCTTTGTCCACTATTTCTGTTGAAACGTTCGAACGTCACCTTTTCATTACAATAGGATTGACCGTAGAAAATTGACGGATCCAGAAATTTGTCAAGGGAGAAGGTATTGGCACATCGCAATCGAAATATTTTTTTTTTTATTAAATATGAAAAGATAGAATATTATATTATTATTTAAATTATTACATTGAAAAAGTATTGTTTAAATGTACAATTCGTTTTAAAATGTATAGTGTTTTAGCAGATAAGGAGATAAAATATCAATATAAAAACATGTATTTACAGCGTAAATAAGGAGTAAATAATAAGTATATCATTTTATTTATTATAATGTTTTTAAGAACGAAATTGCAAAATTCGACTCTTTAATAGGCTTCGTAGTTTCATAAAATATAAGCCAAAACGAGTTTCATGGCAAAATATCTTCTACAAAACTATACTAAGTTTGATAGAATACAAATATGTAGCTATAACGCAAATGAGGTGTAAATGACTTGTCACTTCTATCGATCTTTAAAAATGTGTAAAAAGCTTCTGAATATCAATTGAAGGAACTCTAGAAAATATTTAAAGCGGAGAATACTTTGAACGTTACAATCCAGCGAGAGAATAGAAAACGAGAATAAATTAAAATGAATTGAAATTTTTTTCTGTCCGAATGCGTATTTTAAATAGCGAATACTTTTTTTTGGATTTTATTGGATTCAATTAGATTCAATTGGATACAATTGAATTGAAAAACTGCATTTCCTATTCAAACAACAGTATTCATAATTATGTTTGTGTGCACAGAAAAAAACTAATATTATTTTTAGATTGAAAATCATAGAGATATGCTCCATGCAATTTTTCTATAAATGAATAAAAATGCATTCAGAATTGAAAGGCATTCATTTTAACATTCGTGAATCAATATTTCTGAAAATCTGAATTCATTTCAATCCATTCTCGTTTGCTGGGAAGGTATGCTCCATGCAATTCCTACACTGAAAAAAAATATAAATATTTAGTTGAATACTGCCAACTAAATATTTATTAAATATAAAGATATATTATTTGATATAAGAAATGTTAATTTGATTTAACGATCATTTTTTTTACTGAACAAATATTTACTTATTGTAAGTAAATGTTTAGTCGGCAGTATTGAACTAAATATTTATTAAAATTAACTATATTTTTTTCTCAGTGTATAAATGAATAAAAATGCATTCAGGATTGAAAAGCATTCATTTTAACATTCGCGAATCAATATTTCTGAAAATCTGAAAATCCATTTCAATTCATTTCGACTGATTCTCATTGACTGGGAACGCGCTCGCGACATTACGATCACGTGGACAGTACGAATGAGTACGAACCGCAAACGTTCGCGTTTGCGCTTTGCATCGATTCCACCGTAATATCATGTGATCGGGTAATCTCGTGATTCGTGATGATCACGTGATAATAAATAACCGGGTGCTCATGTTCAGATGTTCGGTTTCTACAAACAGAAGTTGAAGAATTGTGTCGGATCCAATCTCGCATAAGGTAGAGACGTCGATATCACAGATATCAGACACATATCAGACAATTCTAACCGACTCTAACCGTTACCGGCGATTTACCCATCACGTACAAAGGCACATATATACGACGCGCGCGCGCGCGCGAAGATGGCCGGGAATTGGTCAAATTTAAATCGGCGCGGTTTTCAATTGGTTGAAAATTTGCTATGTGCCTGGAGTCCACATATAAAGGACTTTGTAAATCAAGGAGGCCTCGCAGACGCTGGTAATCTTTCATATAGTCAACGCTATCATCTTTCTACCACGTGTTGCATTCCGGAACGAGTAAGTAGTTATTATTAATTTTTGTTTGCGACATAACGATTGATGTGTAATTTGTCTGCTATTGTCACCATATATATTATTCAATTATTATGGCTACAGAATAAAGAGATCCGAAAATCTCTGTCCTGCAGCCAATTAATACGCTTGAAAAATATTATATGTCGCACAATAAAAAAATGGATAAATGTAATATTAGCCTTTGAGTTTACAAAAGGCCGTATTCCGATACACTGCCAGTACTGAAAATCTACAGTTCATTTATGTATATCAGAACATGATCAAAATCAGAAATTCGTTTTCGTGAAAAGTTTCCGGTCATTTTTTTGATAGCCGATGATACTTGAAATTTATCAGATATTCGCGTGAAATTAATGCGAAATATATCTACCTATTATAAAACAGAATTTTGATTAATACTGTTTTGGAACGCAGCCCGAGAGCGACTCTGTAGTCGCAACTTTCGTATAACTTTTGATGACTCGAGAAAGAATGAAGTTCTTTTAGCTTTGATTGCACTTGATTAACATTTTGCCAGTGCCGTAACTAAGCTGATGAAGGGGAAGGATCAGAGGAAACGATGAAAAACAGCGATAATTTATATTACATATTAAATAAAATAAAATTTTCAAAAATTTTAATCTGATGCAGAAATTCATTAAAATTTTTTCTTTAAATATAAATATATTTCGTTAATACTTTAAACTTAAAGAAAGCCCATTAATTTTAATTTAATTTAGTTAAAAAAAAAATATTTTATTCAACCGTGCATCAGTCGCACAAAAAGATTATTTTCCATTATTTGTAAAATGTTGATAAACGAATTATGTTCAATTAAAATAACTGTTACATTATTACACATAAATGTATTTATCACTGCAGTTATATCACGAGTGGGGTTATCATTGGAAGTGTGATCTTCACTGAAGGTCTAATGTATAATGTACATATCAACCTCTATTTGTTACATTGCATATTAGTTTGCATGATCAGATCTATTTATTACATTGCATATCAGTGTGCATTTGACATAACACGTTCCTTTTTTAAATTAAAAAAAAATGCGAGTTATTGAATTTCTCTTACAATTCCATTGATTTCCTTTAATTTATCGCAAGATATTATGAGATAGAGAAAACAATATTGCAAATGTTTAATAATCAATTATTACTTAAATAAAGTTGTAATTTTATAGTTATATTCACATAATGTGATATTAATAGATATTAATTATATATTAAATGATTCAAGTCTAATATATAAATGATTAAAATTAGTTATAAAATATAAACTAAAAATTGTTATAATTGTTGTTGACAGAGCATGGCAGCAATACTCAATAAAAGCATTTGGGAGAGCGATCCCGAGCTTTTCGACTTGATAAAGAAGGAGAAGAAACGGCAGGAATCTGGGCTGGAACTGATAGCGAGTGAAAACTTCACATCTCTCAGTGTATTGCAGTGTATGAGTTCATGTTTACATAATAAATACAGCGAAGGATTGCCTGGTCAAAGGTGAAATTATGTTTCATGTTTCTTTTATAAGTATTCACTTCGTTCAAGAGTGACTTTTTATTTTTATTATACCCACAGATACTACGGTGGAAATGAATTCATCGATGAAATCGAATTGCTGGCGCAGAAACGTGCCTTAAAAGCCTTTAATTTAGATCCTGAGCAATGGGGTTGCAACGTACAACCCTATTCGGGAAGTCCAGCGAATTTTGCAGTGTACACTGGCCTATTGGAACCTCATGAACGAATAATGGGCTTAGATTTACCCGATGGTGGTCATCTTACTCACGGTAAATGCAAATAAATCGAATAAATGCTGTATACAATATATGTTATTATTCGATAAATTGTATTTGTGCATTATAGGTTTCTTCACGGCAAACAAGAAAATCTCCGCTACCTCCATCTTCTTCGAATCGATGCCGTACAAAGTTGATCCTGCGAGTGGCTTGATCGACTACGATGAACTGGCGAAACATGCCAGATTATTTAAGCCGAAAGTCATCATCGCTGGAGTCTCTTGCTACAGTAGATGTCTGAACTACAAACGTTTCCGTGAAATTGCTGATGAAAATAACGCTTATCTTTTTAGCGACATGGCTCACGTCTCTGGATTGGTCGCCACCAGATTAATACCCAGTCCTTTCGAATTTAGTGATGTTGTTTCGACAACTACACATAAAACTTTACGGTATAAAACAATGTCTTAACAATTTTTATAGCACGTATTTCTTTTATCGTAGTAATTAAAATAATGATGAGGTATCTTGTCTATTCAATTTCTCAGAGGGCCGCGCGCTGGCGTTATTTTCTTCCGAAAAGGCGTTCGAAGTTTCACGAAGGACGGCAAGAAGATTATGTATGATATAGAGAGTAAAATAAATCAAGCAGTTTTTCCGGGTCTTCAAGGTGGTCCCCATAATCATGCTATCGCTGGTATAGCTACAGCTATGAAACAAGTGAAAACACCGGAATTCTTCGAATATCAGAAGCAAATAGTGCTTAACGCGAAGAGATTGTGCGCCGGTTTGCAAGAGCGTGGTTATAAAATCAGTACCAATGGCACGGATGTCCATATGCTGTTGATAGATCTACGATCCTCGGGGATAACTGGCTCGAAAGCAGAAAAGATTTTGGAAGACATTTCTATCGCCTGTAATAAAAATACTGTTCCCGGTGACAAAAGTGCATTGAATCCTAGTGGTATCCGTTTAGGAACGCCTGCAATCACCACTCGCGGCTTAATCGAGAAGGACATCGACAAAGTTGTCGACTTTATAGACAGAGGTATTGTATTATTATATTTAAGTAAACATTTAAACCTCGCAAAAACTCGTTAGTGTTCAATGATGATTTCAATCACTTGGGGTGCATTCCAAGTTTCGCATGAAGCATGTGTTACATTATTTGTCCTTGTTATTCACCAAATAATAAAGAATGATAAAATGATACATCATGCGCTTCATGCGTAACTCAGAACTTGGAACGCATCCTAAATCATTAGGATTGTGTTCAGATTCCCATCCGAGTGCCACCACTGCTATCCTGCACTTCATCTCATCGGATCACTTCATCTTTGTTGTTTATCGAACGTTAAGTAAGGATGACATTATATTTGGCACTCGTTGAGAATCGGAACACGCTTTAGAATATTATAATTTGCAATTGTTATTTTTGTGATATTTTTATATCACAAGAAGTTTCTGAGCGTCAACGAGTTAAATATTGTAAGTTAATTCTCTGTCGGCAATGTAAAATTTTCTCGCGTTCGTAATATGGATCTTCGAACTTCAGAGCAGATGTTTATATGTTCCGAATTATACATATAAAAATCTGAAAAAATACATACTTGTAAAATATTTAACGAGTTTTTACTATCAAAGCAGTCAGATTGTATTTTACTTTTATAAATTTATTTTACAATAAAAAAATCGATTGTGCTTTTAAAATTCAATATTGCTAGTGTGGGGCGAGGAGTAATGCATATAGTATGAGATTATATATAATAAATTTAATATTATTTCTTTATAGGATTGAAACTTTCTAAGGAAGTAACTGCTATCTCCGGACCGAAACTAGTTGATTTCAAGAAAATATTAAGTACCGATGAAAATATTAAAACAAAGATTGCAGCTCTAAAAGAGGAAGTGGAAATTTTCTCAAGGCAATTTTCGATCCCTGGTCATGAAACTTATTAAGCATTGTGAAACATACAAGTTCAACAGTTCAGTGTAAATATTTTATAATTTTTCATTGCTATTAATTATATATTTTTAAATTATTTTTATATTTTTTTAGCAGAAATCAGAGAATGAAAATAATGTTACTTCAGTCAATTTTAATCTCTTTAGATCGATACATTTTTAGAGAATATATAATATTTACGAATATAATATTTCATATAAATGTATATAGATATATGATTTTTTAATTTTCGTATAGAAACTATGTATGAAAACAAATTATGTATTTTATGATTCAATAATTTTTTCAAAAATATCAATACTATAATTACTATGATCCCAAAATACAGAATTGGTATTAAAATAAAAATTGTATTATCTTTTATTCATAAAAAATATGTTATTGGCAAACCTGGAATGTGTGACGACCTAACAACATTTAATCCTGAGCAAGACTAATTGTCACATTTTCGCAGTTTTAATAAAATTAAATATACTTATTTATACGATGCTATGTATTCAAAAGTAATATTTTTTTAATATCTAAGGGATATATTGTAACGTAGAATTACATTAATGTATATAGTATTTCAAAATCTTACATCCACTTTTTCTTTTAAAAGTCATTAGTAAAAAACCGGTCTCGGTCTCCTGTGCATCCCCATCGATAGGACATGGCAGAGTTACATTAACTCATAAATAAGAATTACATCACAGAAAAATATAAAGAACGTATTTCACTTGTAAAATAAATCTTTAAAATTGAGCTTTAGAGAAAATAAATAAAATATGTTTTTGACAGTATAATTTAATTTAAAAATTAATTCAGGAACCTTCAGATACATACAGTCTGGACCTAGAATTTCTGGGAAAATAATAATTTTGCGGAATAGGTTCGGAATATATATATGTATATATATTTTTTCCAAATATATAATGATGTGTGAATTGAAAGAGAGAGAGAGAGAGAGAGAGAGAGAGAGAGAGAGACATAGAAAGTGGGATTTAAAAAAAAAAAATTCAATATTTTATAAATAAATCTCATCATTATTATAAATCTATAAAGTACATAATAATAAAACATAAATATCTTCGTAGTATGAAACATATGGCAAATTAAGAAAAAGTTATCTAAACGATGTCCAAATTATTCTTACTTGAGGAATCCTAGGATAAAGTTCTTCAAATAAAAGTTTAAATAATTTTTCATTGATCTATCATGCTTTAGACTACGAAGAAAAATTATATTTTACTATTATTTATTTTATAGATTTCTAGATACCTAAGACTAGATAAGATACAATTGAGTGAATGAGAATGTGTGTGTGTGTGTGTGTGTGTGTGTGTGTGTGTATGCATAGCAGAAAAGTGAATTAGTTTGCAATTTTTCTGATAGATTTTTTGATTACAATATAAATTTAATATATGTAAGATGAAGTGTCATAACATATTTTATATTGATTGTATCGCAATTCTGGCACGATAATGTAATAGACATTTTTTGTAATATTGTTTCCCATAGGGAAACAATAAAATTTATTAATACATTTTTTTTTTAAGTTATTGTTACATTTTTCAGCTTTGCATTGGAGAATGCCCAAAGTCTACGGAAAATTGCCTAACGTGTTATAGATTAAAAAGGTCTCTTTCGAAAGATCTCGATGAATAGATCGAAGTTTTCAATCGACACAAAGTTGTTTGGTATGTCCTTCACAAATTATAGATGAAAGTTATAAATAAAAAGTTATCAGATCCATTTGTCACTGAGAGCCACTTCCTAATAGTGATCCGGGGCAACGAGCTAAACATCGCAATCAAACTAAATATCTTTTGATTTATCTTTTGATAGTTAAGAAAAGATCGGCCGAGGCAATAATTGGGTATTATTATCAAAATGATCAGAGAATTGTAGGGTGCTGTACACACATAATAGTTCTCCGGTTTCTTGGATATAATAGGTTCTAATCTGAGATTCAAATATATATCCTCAAAATCGCTGAGCGATTTCTGCGTGGTAAAAACTTAAAAACTCTGACGAAAGATCTGACTTGATTTTATTTTTTATTTTTATTTTTTATACATATAGTCTGCCGGAGTGATAACACGATTAAATTCGTCTTGTTAAATGCTTTGTAACGATATTACATTAATATATTTGCATATGTTTGCAAGCGAATTATTTAAATGACCATCTCTTTGAACTTTCATGACCTGTAACCTCGTGAAGGACACACCTGACAACTTTATATTCATTGAAAATTTTGCTCTACTCATCGAGACTTTTCGAATGACACCTGTTTTGACCTGTAACGCGTTAAGCAATTTTTGGCATCCTCCTTTGTATTAATTCGTGAAATAACGCAAAATATGAATTTGTAATATACAGGGTGATTATTAGGATTAGATTGTATCGAAATTAAACAGTTATCATTATACTTAATATTTAAAAAAAATTATTTTTTTTTAATATTATTAACGTGAAGGTAATCTTATTATAAAATTTTGGTATAACACATTTTTTTATATCTTAAATAGTTTTTGAGATTTATAATGAAAATAGTTTATAATAGTTTATAATGAAAAAAGCTAAAAACTGCTTTACCTATAAAAACTATTTTTCCATATCAACTAATATTTTCT